GACAATGCAGCAAAAAGTGGCTGAGGTCACCAGATGTGAGATGAAGCAGCTTTGATATTTTTCTATACAGTGCCCACTGTATTTGCAACTTCTCCCCTACAACTTAAATTACTAACGCTATTGGCCCACCATCGGGTTGTCACCTTGATGGACAGATGGGATTAGCAACTTTAATGACCCAGACAGAGAAGGCTGAAGGAAAGAAGAGTTAACCCAGAGAAAGGTTAGGCTCGTTAACCATGATTTAGGTGGCTTCTCTAGTGTAAGTACACCCCGAATTCAAGGCTCCCTGGTACGCGAAGTTGGAAGTTGATGCAGTAAGCTAACTCCTCGCAACCCGGAAAGAAGAGAAGTAGAAAAATTAAAATTGTGTCGATATATTATTTGCAAGAAGACTTTAACTAAAGAGGAGGGCTAAGCAAACATCGTACATATGCAGTTCCAAGTTATTCGAGGCTAACTGGCGGCAATTCCAGGAGAGTTGGAGAGAATCAATTAATTATTCTTGAGAATTTAAGCCTTTTTCGTTCTTATGACAAATTTCAAAACAGAATTTCTCTATAAATTATTCCTCCAACCGTTGACGCTAATATATGTACACATTTATTAGACCTTTATTCGAGCAGAGAAACAAATGTGAATATCATGTCCTCTTAAATCAATACCAACTTTTTAAAGCCTGAATTTGAGGTTTATTATCAAAGAGAAGCTTAGTATAATAGGAAACTTGAAACTTTCAAATTCAAAAAGATATTCACACAGTATAATATTAGTAATATTTTGTTAATAAATATGGTTTCTATAATCTCACCTGTCAAGAATGTGGCTTCCGATATATTTTTCCATAAATATTTAAACAGGTCTTTTCCATAATTTTTATTATAAATTCCCCTCCGGAAATCATGGTTTTATAACTGTTGTTTTACCATCAGTAGATCATTTGTCTTCAAAAATCATCAACACAATTAGTTATTAATAAACATAAAAATATCATTACCAGACCTGGAAACCAGGATATCCTTATAGTGGTTGTGGCGCTATTTCCTATAATCTACTTGCCGAAAAAAAATTGGTCCGTTTTCTTTTCTATGATAATTTGATATTCAAAGTATAATCGCTAAGACTTAAATCCAGTACAATTTTTGTTTTAAATTCAGTAGTTATTATTCTGCAAACATTTCGCAGAAACAAACAATTTTGGTTATATGTGTTCTACCGTAATTTCTTTTCAAGATATAGAAATCATCTTCATTGTAATCTCCTCACCTCACTAAATAATGTTTGCTTTAGAGCCGGTATTTATCTAGCCTAGTTTACAAGCAACAAAAACATATTTTCCGGGAGACGAACCTGAAACAATTCCTCGGTGTCGTGGCCTGTGTAATCTCTTCTCTTCTCCAATATAAAAACTTTCCTCCTGGCGTCGTTCTTCTATCATGCTTCGTTCCAGACTTACAGTAAACATTCTCGGGGTTGTAACGTTCATCTTTATAGTCTTCTTCTCGTCTTAGTTTCTGTGCTTCAGAAATGAACTTCACCGGAATTCAAACCCAGAATATTTATTTGGTATTTTGGCTGTTCCAAAAGATCTTCCTTGCTTCAGGGCATAAGCATCAAAACCTTGGTGCAAATTTGTGCATTCGTCTTCCAGCAATAAGCGAACATACATGAATGCAAACAACTTCATCAGCATTGGCCAGAAGCGATTGTCACATTCAATTTCAGACTCTCTTGGTTTACTAGGGCTTTGTTGATGGAGTATTCTGAACAGAAGATGAAAAAAATGATGACTAAGCACCCTCTTCTTCCACGCTGTTCTAAACACTAAATTCATCTACAAATGTTTACCTATATGGATTTTATAACACAGTACATGAAACAAAATATTATTTTGCCAAAATGGTTTTACTGGTATGCCGCCATTAATGATGATGCATTATACTTACCTCCTAACTAAAAAATATTTTTCCTTGAAGTGTAGAAAATTCTCACGAGCTATTTCACTATACTGCCGGTTTAAATGTTCAGTATTGAGAAATGCAGAAAATCTATTCAGTAGTCGATTGATTACTTCGAAATTCACACTGATAATTTCCTGTAATTTATTACGTATGGTGGTAAGCGTGAAATTCGAAAATCTGGTAAAATTTTGTGTGCAGTTTGATAACACTCATATTCCATTACAATTACTACAGTCAGGTTTGTCACACACTTATGAATTTGTACAACTATTGATTCCTCCTACTGCCCTAGAAATTCTTCGTTATCTAGCGTTCTTTGCAGCGACAATACGTTATGGGCCAGTCGTGTCTGTCCGTGGAGGTTGTGCCATTCTGCACGACTTAAAAATCGTACTTTTAAATAACCTACGAGCGGTGATAACAGAAAGTCACGTGAGGAAAGTCGTGAGCTAGACGCAGGTGGCAAAAGTGGAAACTATCGAACAAAATGAACTTAATACCTCTAAACGAACGTTGCAATGAACATATGAGGATATAATGTTTATTACGGTACATAACAAATTTTTCGAGCTTGTTCTAAATAGATTCAATAATTTCGTATATCTCATAATGTAATGTGTTACCTCCTTTATACAATTTCTGTCGAAATTTTATTAATAGCTGGAAATTCATATCTATCAACATTTTAATTTCAACCTCAAAAGAACAGGATTCAGATACTGTACTCCATGTTTGAATTTCAGTCTGCCACACATCGTTAACAACAGGTACATCCAATAGCTGACAAAAGGAGATCTTTCAAATATCCAAAATACTGAGAGAATCTGTGAGCACCATTTACATTTTTACAAAGTTCGTGCTGTTTTAAAATTCTACATGTATGTCTCTATGCAGTTCTCTAATATTTGTGTACTTACCAAGAGTTTCAATCACATTTAACTTGTCTTTCAAACATAGTGTCTTTTTTAGCTTACGTCTTACATTGCCCATGTTATCTGCAGTCATCTGACTCGGGTTCAACAGCTACTGCAATTTACTCTGCTTCCGTATGCCCAATAATTTTTAACATTCTTCGTCGTGACCATTATTTATGCTGTTTTAACTCGCAATGACAAAGACTTTCTTTGCAAGAAATTTTTATCCCCTTTAAACAAATTTCCCAATAACCTGTGATGTCCACATTATCTAAATTTTAGAAAATCTCAAAAACGCCGGTCAAGTTTTTGGCGTTATACTGTTCCATAACATCTCCTTCGCTCAGTTTCTTGAGATCATATATCTTATCTAACTTATACAGGTCGTTTGCTTTTCGGCAGCCCTTACCTAAGTTTTGTAACTACAAAATTGTTGTTGGTATCATATTCAGCCCCTCGGAATCATCGAATATCAGGAGTAATTCTATCTGTCATATGGTGCATGATTTTCTGACAGAAGAAACCCTAGTGTATTTTTAAATTTTGTGACGTTGTGACCACTTTACTCTTCATGAATATATCCTGTGCTGTATTTAACCACAATTGTTTCGTGTAAATTCTCGTCAGCTATTGGTTTCGAAATGCCTTCCTTCCCCTTATTCGCATTGGAATCTCCCAACAAAACGATTATATGGCACTTCAAGAATTGATCCAATACACTCTAATTGCTCATAAAAGCTGTTCCTTGCAGCATCATCATCATATCTGTCATCGGTTGGCGTTTGCACATTCAGAACAAAAATATTACACCTATTAAGCAATACATTTTATCCTATCACCAGCAAACTTTATCCTCCCAACTGCTGACATGATTCCGTTTTAAGACACGGCCTATCCCTAAGTGTTAATCAACGGTCCTGTTCCCATAGAAGAATGCACGTCGATTCCGTGTCACCTACGTCCCATCTGAAATGCACTCCCGCTAAATTAAACTAATTCCCTAGATGTGTTGTCAAAGAGTCTTACGTACAAACAGAATCCTGACATTTCACGTTCCATATCTCATGCAAATTTTCAAATGCTTATGCCATACCTTAAAATCTAGGGGATCGCTCTTTGTCGGTTGTCTGCGATTGATTCTTTAATAAATTCACAGCTGTTTTCCACATCTCTCAGAACAATACAATAATAACGTACAAAGTACATGAGAAACAGCAAAACAAGCTCTAGGGGAGACACAAGAGTGCAGCGTAAAAATCGCAATACCTTGCCGAGTAAGGAACTGATGATAACGGACTTACGTTTTTAAGATCGTTCATCATAAATCAGATACAGTACAAAATTAAGTAAGAGCAGGGACAAGTTTAATTTAGGGCAAATTTTACTGAAGAGAAATCAAAGCTTGGGAAGAAATCTTGCTCTGAATGAGAGTGTAAAAGAATTAAAGAAAGTCGATAAACAAGGCAGAAGTAGTCGATTCCTCAGAAGTGTTGGTGACTACCAACAATACTACAGACAGTCATAATTCATAAGATCATATTTCAGAATTGTAAATTCTTTGATCTTACAACTGACATGGTTGCAAAACTAAACCAAAGCCCGCAATCGCACACTATCCAGGCCTCTTCCGTTATTTTCCTATCCTCAGAACCTACAGATCTAAGATCCATCTTAATCTTCTTCTCAGGTCTCCGTTTCGGACTTCCGAGTGAAAATTTCCCAAGAGGTTTTATCGTCAAAACTCGTATATGCATTTGTCCCCCATCAAATTCATATCGCGTGTTCTTAGATTTCACTATGCAAACAAGACTATCTGAAGATGGCTGCCGTGTGGGTCGGTGGACTGTGTATTCTGATATTAACCGACGTTTCGGAGTAAATTACTGCTTCCGTCATCAGGGATCAGAACTATCTCACGCATAGCATTGATGATGGATGCAGCAAGCGCCTCTGAAACGTCAGTCAACATCTATCAGAATACACAAATATTTTCGTTATGTAAAGTCATAAATTGCTTTCTCAATGACTTTATTATTCTTTTATGTCTGTGCATTTTCCAGGGCACTTTTATTTCATACATCCTGTTATTTACATGTAGATACACATACGCATTTCTTCTTTCTAGAAGACGTACGGCGGATTTTTTAATTACCAGTTTTTGCGGCTATTCATGGTGATACATGGTGAAGGAAAGTTAAGTTATTACCGAGCTGAATACGCACACGTCATGATGACAGTTTGGAGGACTAAAGGTATAGCTCCACGGATTCTTAGCCTATGCACTAGATTCAGTTTCACGCTCCAACCACTTAAGTCCCTTACAAAAATTTACCGTTACCCATTGCATGTGAGGTCAGATTGTCCCGAAAGTCGGTCTGGATGCAAAAGCAAAAGGTAACCCCATGGCCCTGCCGGGAATCCAAACCTGGTCGTCCAGCTCTTAGCCTAGTTAACTGTACTGACGGATTTGCCTCGGCGCTGATATCCTATTTTATCATTAATGTTTATCGCCTTCCTTTTGACTTGCGGGTTTGTTTCTGTTTGTTGACTGCTACATGGTTGTTTATCTCCTGTCTAATCCTTGGAAACTCTAACAGCGAGTTTTCAATTAATTGTCCGCCTTAGTTTAAGACAATCCTAACTGAAACACATGTAACGCCGCAAGCGGACGAGAGCCTTCACTGCCATTAATGAAACTTCTTGACATGCATCGTTTACCGGAAACCAAGAGGCACAGAACGCCTTTGTTGGGGAAACCAAACTCCGATGTCTTATCGCGTTAAAGTTCAACAAGTTTGTCTTGCAGATGTGTCGAAAGCGCAGTGCTAACAATAGGATCTTGCGAAAACGGGTCGACGCAGCTGTAAATATTTGTAATGGACAAGAATAACATGCGTGCATCAAGAAAATATTTACATTCTCTTAAAACAGAAGATAAGAATTAATATGTCTTATAGATTACGTGATATTATAATAGATTTAAATTAATATTATTATTTTACTATTCACAAAGCGATTCTGTGCGCTCGAGATCCGAGGGATGGGAGGAAGGCGGCATACATTTGATATATTAACGACTCTTTTAATTAATTTTGGTTAGTAATAACCTGATATGTGTTTGCAGGGCCTGGGGCGACGAAAGTTGTAATTTTAAAAAATAGATATTGAATAAATACAACCACTTACACAATGCTCTAAAATAATTTTATATTTTTTTCTGAATATGGTCTTCGAAACGCTTATAAACGGGTTCTTGTTTTATTTTAAAATAATGCATAGAAAAAAATTGACTAAAGCGATATTAGAATAGGAAACATGGAAAGTCTTTGCCACATTTGGAGAAAGTAACTGCCATTTTTATCCAAAGAAACTAGCTCATAAACCAATATCGAAAATCAGCTCCATCTGAATTTAGGTTTACCAATCTTTTCTCCTTATCTACTTTTATAGGATGTATTGCAACATCATATGATAATCTTACCAATCCAGACTGTGACATTCTGAGATGTGACACCGTTTAGCCTTATAAGTGGTCACCAGCGTTTTCGAAAGAACATACTGCCTCCATCTTCCTTACTCCGAAGATGGAGGCAGCGCGTAGAAACCTTTAATTTCTAAACATTACACATTTTGTTACGACGTGTAGGCTGTTGTTTTAACCAAAATCAATGCTGTGATTTGCGTACTCATTGGCCACATAACAGGAGACATGATGAGGTGTAATGAATTCGCTGTAAAGGTGAGAAAATGTGGTATAATGAATCATAAACTTCTGTTGAAAATTTATGTCATATTAAATGCATTATCTTGTTCACATGGTTTATCATTGTTTTCATGTCACCGAAATATCAAATACCTAAGTAAACTTCCACTACAATAAATCCCTTTGAAATAGCTTACCAATGCAAACACTGAGTCGGATGCCCCAGCTCTGTCAAATATGATTTCCAGTGACTATGAACGTAAAAAAATTATCACTTGCTACGTATGACAGTTTATTTGCATCAAATAAAACGAGGATAATAGTGACCAGGTGGTACTTCCCAACTGTACGTGCTTATTAGTTAAATATTGGTCAAGCGGATTGCAACGCAGGTCTGTACAGCCATACGACTGTCGTTTTGTTCGGAAGTTAAGGTTTCAAATCTCGTCAACGGCCACCGGTAATCCTAAGTGATATTTTCTTCTACCCAGGCTAATGGCGGTACATTTTCTGAAATGCGCTAAGCGACCACATTACATATCCATACTTAGACACTATCCACGACCTTCTTCCAAGACAGTCCGACATTATACTGCCTCTTTAGTCAGAAAAATCTTTTGATTCTTGGCAGATTAGACAAGCTTTTACATATTGTACGAAGTCATCTAGGGTCAAATGATAGGTTCAGTAAAATAGATGAATTGCGAAGACGTAACGAATAAAATAAAGCATAAAGAAATATGTTAATGTATAATTTGTGCGTAGGACAAGGAAAACCACAGAAAGTATTTTCCGTGACGACAGGCTGCCTTCGGCCCGAGTTTCCAACAAGGGATATCAGAAAAATTAATAAATTAGCTTGACCTTAAAGTGGAGTCTCAGTTAAAGTTTTCAATACTACGAAAGCTGACGTTTCCCTTCCTAATATCCGTTGGAAATTATTATGCAAATGGAAGCATGGCTTCGTGCCTGATAAACGCAATTTAAAATTTATGAACGGACTCTGCATAATATAATCTCTCTTTACTTAAAATAAATTATTTCGGTTTATATTTTTCTTTTTATCTGCATATATCTTATCCAATGAAGAGGCGCTCATTTAAAAGTATTTATTCTGCACAGTGCCGACTACACGAACCAAAATATTACAAAGCGAATACTGCGTGCAAACGGAAGATGGCAGAGCTGACGCTGATAATTTGCTTCAAAGACGTCATTAATGCCGAAGCTTCATTCATACAAACGTCAAACAATTGAAAAGCAATCGGATACCACCACATTCACTCCCCTCAATTTAACATATGACTGTATGTTTCAACAAAATTCTGTCCTCTTCGGAGTGACCAATAATGTTTTACATATACAAAACAATATTTTATTACAATAATTTTTCCGTATTCGTGGTTTGTTCCTGGAGATAAGAGTATAAGAAATTAAAAGCTTTTAATTGCTTTTACATAATTAGACACAACTAAAGATTCTGCTAGAACATGCATGGTTATATAATTATTGTAACTAAATGAATACAAATGTACTAGACAGTTTTAATAACTTTTTACTTATATCTAACTGTTATTTAGCAGTTATATATACCACAGCAAATATCTTATAGTTATCAGTTCAAATGACGGCTAACTTCGGAGTTATAGGTGGGATGTATTAAACTGTAGCCAGATATGGATGGCGTATGTGAGTATAAGCATGATTAGTAACCGACAGCTGACAAAGGGCGGGCCTTAAAGGTAAGTATGTGGCGGGTTCTACAATATTCATATTATAATTCCCTTAAAATTTTCCAGAATAAAAGAGCACACGATTACCATTTTTGTTAGTTAACAGTTCTTCATTTTCAGTATATGCCATTTCTTCTTACAAGGTTCGTGGATGTGTTTGAGAAAGTACGTGTGTGTGTATCTATGTATGTGTTGGAGAAGAAACAATTTGAGTCTTCCTTCCAAATCCATGCACTATTATGTGGTCACTGTGATACGGAGCAAGGTAAAAAAAATTACGTATTTGTCCCCCCCCCCCCTCGATACCCATTAGACAATTTTCAGAAAACGCCGTGTACTAGGCCTACAGTAAAAGATTTATAAACACGAGACATAAGAATATCAGAATTGTTTACTGGCTAAAGCAGACGCTTCATCGTAACAGAGCAAGGCTTGCGACTTATTAGGACCCTCTCATGACGCTCTCGTCATACCGTTCAACTTCCAAGTATTGATTTCGAAGACCATATGTCCCCACCTCCTTCCGCAAATTCCGTATGTACCTCTTAGTTCCTCATTCGAGTTACACGATTATCAAATAATAAGTAAAAATTATTGAACGTCATAAACATCACAAACCACTAAACAGGAAATTAATAGTTTAAACGAAGATAATATTCAGATTAATGTAACGATAATTGTTTCGTGTCAATAGACGAATAATAGATATTCGGAATGAAACATGATCATTGCTTTATTATATTCATTGGCGTTGGATATTGTAAGGCACAGAATCAAATAGTGTTCACTCTAGACGAATAAATCTTTTATTCTTTCATTCTATGCTTCTTTGCGATTATGAGGCGATAGTGTATGTCTGTCTGTCTAATTCACGCTCTGCTTCCAAAGCTTCCGCGCGAATTTAGAGAAAATGTTATATGTGGTGGGAACTCCACAATAAAGGTGACGAGACCAGTACATTTTCCATCCGTATCAACCCAGTGTAACTTCTGCATTAATCGTGAAACCCTGTAGTAATAATATACAAAAGTTTTTCAGTGAAATTCTTTACCACCACGTGTTTACTTTGCATTGCCGAAAACGTTTCGGTTACATAGAGTGACTCGGTATTTACAGATCCAGTTCAAACACACGCATGTGTTAAAACGGTGCATTATAATCATTAAGTAGTAAAACCTTACACTATCATGCCACTAAATCACGTTAAAATTTATATTAAATATTAAAATATAAAGTAAAGCTAAGTAAAGCCGTACCGCAACACGCCATGTAGGTCGTTTGGGGGGAGTGGAGGTATAGCTCCCACTCATTCTTGACCTGGGCACTAGATAGGAGTGACTGGTCAGCTTCACGCCCCGGCCGTGATTTACCCTGGGAAATAACTCCGGTACCCATTGGATAGGAGTTTGGGTGGGACCCGGAGCCGGTCAAGTCGCAGAGGCTAGAGGAAAAATCCTCTACCCTCGTGGGGGATCGAACCCCAGTCGTCCAGCCCGTAGCTAGTCACTATAATGACTGAGCTTCATTATCCACTATTATCTGTCATTCGACGCTATATAGCCTGAGCTACTGAGGTAAATAAACTATAAATAAATAAACCTGATCTTAAGACAGACATAGAAGAAATCTAGGGACTTACGGAAACTAGGGTACGAAGCACTACCAAAGTCCAGGGATACCCTATAAGGCCCTTATTAAAGTGGACAATTATCTCTAAGGATGGGGACTCTTTGACACTAGGGACTATGGAAGCCTTGATTATGGTCATAATGAAAGAGCTCTTTTACATACAGATTTTCAGGATTTCCATTTGGGCAGACATTTCCTGAAACCAGGTGATTATCATGAGATATGAGTTAGATAATGTGCTTTGCTGTATAAACGGAGCTGCTGGGGGATTATGACTGAGAAGTACTAAAGATCAGCTAATGGTCGCAGTGCAAGGGCTGCTTGGACGCCCACCCATTTATTTACATTACATTATGCTATGTTACGAATAACGAATTATTACCATGTGGTGTTGCTGTTGTAAAGTCACGTTTCCCTCATATGCTTGGAGATATTTTGATATTCCCATCTGTACACTATAGGTTGAGGGTGGAATTATGTCTATCTTTTTTCCGTTGTGGTGTGCTGTCTCGTATTCACTACATTAGTTGACCGTCCTGCTTCCTTTGTGCAAAATTCTTGTTCTTTTTAGAAAATCCTCAAGTATAAAACTTTTATAAATTTATAATGCGTAGATTCCTTTAATATCTACAGCTTTCACTTAAGCATGATTCAATACGATGTATATTCAATAAAATACAAAGAAAATGTTTCTTGTATATGCAGTGTTATTAGCTGTGAAATAATGAGGTTATACAGCAAATGAACAACATGCCAATTAGGAGAAAATTATACACTGCATTTACAAATATGTGTACCCCACCTACAACTAATAATTACAGCTAGCAGTAAAACAGCAGATATAGAAGAGACAATGAAGCATGTCTGACATACCGGTACTCTAGCAGAAATTTTATTACACAGATAAAAATACTGGGCCACTGGATACCAGATGTTTGTGTTATGTGTGCAATTTCTATTACTGTGCAGGTAAGTGTGCGTTACAGTCTAAAACGTACTTCCTTAATTGGACGTGTCTCTGAGGGGAGCGAATGTACGCATGATTCTGATGTTGCAAACTAACTGATATCAGTTCATTAACAAATGGTGAGAACAGCATGAGAGTCGACCTCCAACACACGCCACCTGCCGACACACAAATGTAATCAAACGAGAAGCAAAATGCATCGCAATATTCAGCAGCATGAAAGCCTAATGCACAATGACAAATTCAAGAATATCAAAATCTAACTCAGACAGAAAGTCGAAACAAAAAGCGTGTCATTTATTCATGCAGTGTTCATATAAACCACATGAAAATAGACCGCCAAGATTGACGCGGAAATCTGAAACAGTAATTAAAACACTTTTTATCGAAAAGTTTAACAAATCACCGTATAAAAATTAAAATAATTACTTATCTTTTCTTAATTTCGAAAGCTGCAAAGCGTTAATACGTAACAATACCTTTTGTTGCGTTGTATAGAACTACAAGTGCACATCAGGCGATGAATTAGTGAACAGCTTTTGTGTCAGAGCACTGCTTCCTCAAAGAAGTATATACAACTTCATTTGAAATAATGTTTGATATAAATATATTATTATCAGTACTTATGTCTGATTAATTAGATAACATAATACGATTTAATGTACCGCAATTCAAACACGATCATTTATTGCCGAAGTTATAATTAATGTGCGGCATTGTAGCATATGTTCGCGGTAGGCTTCCCGAAACAGCTTTACCATGGCAACGGTTATATT